TGATTGCCAGCTGCTTGTTAAGGTAGGGCCAGTCTAGCTCCCGCTATCCCTTCCCCTCCTTCTTCTTTCCCCCACTCCCCCGGAAAGGTGACTTGTGGGGCTCCGGTCCAAACAGTAATCACTAGACTCACAGCTCCCAGCACTACTCTTGGATGACAGAGAGGGTCACCTGCCAATCAACGAGTAGAATTGAAGGAGACGGACTAACATTCTGAGATGTCCCAAATTCTGATCCACTTACCTGTTTGTGTATGCAAGTATCAGGATATAACCAACGGGTCCTGGGACTGTACTTCATCATTGCAGTGGAAAAAAACCTGCTTTCCTGTCATCTGGACGGATTAATCACGGCTATACTGTGAAGAACTAGCCAGTGGGTTGTAACCAACACCTGCGACCCCCCCCCCCCCAATCATCAGCAGCGGCTACGATTTCAACAACACACAGTGTCACCAACACCAGACACCCAAGTTTTATTTATATTAGCGTTGAATTCAGATATCATTTATATTTTTCATTTTTCATTTTCTTTAATGTAGGATCAATATTTCATATTTAAGTGTTTTATATTTTATATTTTCTAAATAATAAAGTGTTTATGTTTGTCAGTTTTTATTCTTTTTCTATACATTAATTTTCCTGAGGAGGAGCCAGCCTTAGTAATACTGACTGAAGTTGTTACAGGGCTGAGTAAGCCTTCACAACAGTGGTGTTGAAGGTGGCAAGATTAGGGTGAGAGATGACATAAGTCATGTCGTCAGCAAAGAGAATGGGGTTCAGGTGTTGGGATACATTTGGATGAGCATTGATGTATATGAGGAAGAGCAGGGGACCAAGGACACTTCCCTGCGGAACTCCAGTATCAAGTGGCCGTGTTGTTGATGTTCTGTCTTTAATGGTGACATACTGATACCTATTAGTAAGGTAAGATTTGAAATATGCAAGCGCATGGCCTCTTATACCATAATGGTCAAGTTTGTGGAGTAGGATGCCGTGGTCTACTGTGTCAAAAGCTTTTCTTAGGTCAATAAAAATTCCTAGTGGATATTCCTTATTTTCCAATGCTGTGTAAAGCAGGTCTAGCATTTTTATAATTGCATCATTAGTGCCTGACTAACATAGGTAAACAGTGAAATCAAGAGCTGTTGTTTCACCACCAGCCTCCCTACCAGCAGACAAGGTGTGGAAGTGGTTTAAAATGACTTATTCATTTTGAAATTATTAGAGTTTCATGATACTAACAGTAGAATTCAGCCACAAAGCACACTAAGTAGATTTAACCTAGGATAAATCAATAAAGTTAAACACTGTGACTTTATTTCTGTGTTTCAATGAGTGCTACACCTTGAAACAATTGTAATATCATAGGGTTTTGTCGTAAATATGTACAGTGGAACCTCGGCTGTCGAATTTAAATTGTTCCGGATGTCAATTCGACAACCAAATTGGACAACAACCAAAGCAATTTTTCCCATAAAGAATAATGTAAATAGAATTAATCCATTCCAGACCCCAAGTGACAGCCCAGATCAGCCGGGCTGTGGATAGTGCGTTGGACTACGTGCGGCCAGCAGTAACAGTCTGGTTGATCAGGCCCTGATCCACCGGGAGGCCTGGTCGTGGACCAGGTCGCAGGGGCATTGATCCCCGGAATACCCTCGAGGTAGACTACATACAACTGTAAAAATGAATACTAAAAGAAACTTTAACTGCAACTCTGTACAGTAAATGAAAATTTAACTGCCTCTTACTTGTCTGAGGAGAGCTGGTGGCATACTGAAAGCAGGAGGTGAAGGAAAGTAGGGTATATGTTACTGCTTGGAAGGAGAGTCACCTCTTATTATGTCAGGCAACTGTCCTTCGGATATTGCTTGTCTTTTTTCACCACTAGCATCTTGTTCTGGCTTACTGGTTCTGTCTCACTAAAAACCTGTCCAGTGAGGTTTGTTTCAGGCTTCGTTTTCTCACTTGTCTAAATTGAGACACTACACTGTCGTTGTACCTGTTAGAGATATGGATGGCTACTTCTTTGTCTGGATGGTATTTTTCAGCAAACTCCTGCACTTCATGCCATTTAGCACAAATTTTTTTGACAAGTTAGGTAGGCACATCATCCCTTCCCTCCTCTTCTTCTTATGACATTTCCACTGCAGCAGTCTGTTGCTGCCCCTTCTGAAGGTCTAAAAGTTCTTTTTGTGGTGAGTTCAGGTCTATGCTCCACCACCAGCTCCTCCACATCATCATCACCTCTAGGCCCAAGGTCTTTTCCGGGAACACAATATCCTCTACCGGCTCAGGCTCGTCTTCAAAGCCTTCAAAATTCCCTGGATGCCACAAAGTCGGGCCACAATTTCTTCCATGCTGACTGTATGGTCCTGGAAGACACATAACCCCCAGGCTTTGTCTATAAGCCTCAAGCAGGTGAAGATATTGAAATGGTCATTCCAGAATTCCCTGAGGGTTAAATTTGTTTCTGAAGTGATTTCAAGGCATCTTTCAAAAAGTGTTTTGGTGTGGAGTTTCATGAAGTTAGAAATGATCTGCTGGTCCATGGGCTGGATGAGAGGAGTGGTGTTAGAAGGCAAGAACTTCAAAGTTATAAAACTGAACTCCTCCAGCAACTCCTTTTCCAAGCTTGGAAAGTGAGCAGGAGCATTATCCATAAGTAAAGGGGCCCTGAATGACAGTTGTTTTTTAACGAGGTACTTTTTGACAGTGGAAGCAATGACCTCATGAACCCACTCAATAAAAAAATTGTCTTGTTACCCAAGCTTTCGTGTTGGCCCTCCACATTACAACGAATTTGTTTTCATAACATTGTTCCTCTTAAAAACTCAGGGATTTTCAGAATGATGAACAAGTAAAGGCTTCAGTTTCAAGCCTGTCAACAACCAAGAGAATGTACGAAAACCAGGACATTTTTTTTCTCGAATTCCTTATTTGAAAACCGATTTGTTCTACAAGTAATACAGTCAACAACCGAGGTTCCACTGTACATGTATATGTTTTACAGTTGTCTGGAAGGCTCACAGGTGTTATAGACACAGAATATTTACATAACACAAGATGTTCACTCGAACCTAATTCTTCTTTCTTCTTTCAACAAACTGGCCATATCCCATTGAGGCAGAGTGGCCCAAAAAGAAAAACGAAAGTTTCTCTTTTTAAATTTAGTAATTTATACAGGAAAAGGGGTTACTAGCCCCTTGCTCCCAGCATTTTAGTCGCCTCTTACGATATGCATGGTTTATGGAGGAAGAATTCTGTTCCACTTCCCCATGGAGTCAAACCTAATTCTTCTTTCAACAAACCAGCCGTATCCCACCGAGGCAGGGTGGCCCAAAAAGAAAAACAAAAGTTTCTCTTTTTAAATTTAGTAATTTATACGGGAGAAGGGGTTACTAGCCCCTTGCTCCCGGCATTTTAGTCGCCTCTTACAACACGCATGGCTTACGGAGGAAGAATTCTGTTCCACTTCCCCATGGAGATAAGAGGAAATAAACAAGAACAAGAACTAGAAAGAAAATAGAAGAAAACTCAGAGGGGTGTGTATATATATGCTTGTACATGTATGTGTAGTGTGCCCTAAGTGTAAGTAGAAGTAGCAAGATGTACCTGAAATCTTGCATGTTTATGAGACAGAAAAAAGACACCAGCAATCCTACCATCATGTAAAACAATTACAGGCTTCTGTTTTACACTCACTTGGCAGGACGGTAGTACCTCCCTGGGCGGTTGCTGTCTACCAACCTACTACCTAGGTCAATCCTAATTATATAGCATAAATAATTAACCTAACTCATTACTTAGTATTGTCAATATTCTCAATAACTCACTCTTGTCAAACTGTGTGACTTATTTCCATGTTTTAAGGAGTATTATACATTGAAACTGTAATATTATAGTTAATATTATTATTCCTTGTACCTAGTGTTAGATGACCAAAGTAATAAAAAATTAGAATAAAAAGCAATTATTTCACCAATATATACTGTGTATTCCAAAGTGAAGCAATGTCAGGCTAAGCACATATAATATCATGAAAAACTACTACATGTATACATTAGTATTCAACATTAAAGCAATAAAAAACCTGAAAAACAATCATAATTTGACATCAGTAAATTGTAAAACGCACATATCACTGGCGCATTTATGCTACTATTGCCAACGAGTGGTTGTTTTTTCACCAACTTCAGCACACCGTGTAATAACTTGACTCACGGAATCATAATGACACGATTGCAAACAATCGGTTTGAACCCGCGGTCAGAGAGTCTCAAAACTCCAGACCATCACGTTAGCCACTGGGCCAGCTAGCTTCAATAAGAGTCATCCAGCTAGGTGTATTTCTACACCATAGGAACGTTAGCATAGGCACCAATGTGTCCACAAATGCAAGTTTTTACAGACGAACCTCCCGCTAGCATGGCCGTGACGAACTCTAGCTCAAGTCCCCTCAAAGCCATCAACATGACTCACGAAATCATAATGACACGATTGCAAACAAACCATACCACGGGCGGGATTTGAACCCGCAGTCAGAGAGTCTCAAAACTCCACACTTGCATTTGTGGACACAGTGGTGCCTATGCTAACCTTCCTATGGGATAGAAATACACCTAGTTGGACGAATCTTATTGAAGCTAGCTGGCCCAGTGACACGCGACGGTCTGGAGTTTTGAGACTCTCTGACCGCAGGTTCAAATCCCACCCGTGGTATGGTTTTTTTTACCATGTAATAAGTTTTCATCAGATTCCACTCATTTTAGTCTTATTCAATTCATAAAAATGCACCCTTTCATTCTATTAGAATTATTTTTTCCAACATATTCCCCTACAGGAATGTTTTTTTCAGGTAAGTATAGTAATCTGAGCACAGATTACTCATGAAACCATTGTTTTGATAATGCATGAACGATTTCCATCAAACTCTTTCCTTTAAGAAACAATATCCATAAATATTATATATGTTTAACTCTCCATTTGTTATGAAATATTTTTGTCATTGCAGGAAGACGACTTGAAGTGGGTAGAGGAGAACATTCCATCATCTCTGGCAGACACGTAAGTTATTATAGTAATTGCTTATATATATATATATATATATATATATATATATATATATATATATATATATATATATATATATATATATATATATATATATATATATATATATATATATATATATATATATATATATATATATATATATATATATATATATATATATATATATATATATATATATATATAATATATATATATAATATATATATATATATATATATATATATATATATATATATATATATATATATATAATATATATATATATATATATATATATATATGCGCGCGCATGCATGCAATAAGATCACAGTAAACAGGTGATTTCAGAATATGCAAAACAACCACTCTGAAAGAATAGAGAAATTCCAAGCGCTTTCGTGACTACTCACATTATCAAGGAACTATGAAAGTAAAGCATCCAAGGAAGCTATATAAGGGGTCTGGCCAGCACCTCACTATCAGATCCCACAACGGTTAAACACCTGACGCACGCTGACCCAACTTGGATAGGTCCTTTGCACAACTCACCCACAAACTATTCTACCCAAGAAAATTTAAAAATTATTATTTGTCCAGTGTATTATTAAATTCTTCCCAAATTCTATTAATTATAAATAGATCTAATTTATATAAACCAAAGGAAATATTCATATTGTCAAAACTGCTTTTTATGAAACAAGATTCAATTATATTCCTGTCGACCATGGACTTGCTTGATACTACTTTCTCAACTTTTTGAAAATCAGTTGGATGGTTAAAATCTCTTACATGAATAAATAGAGCATTGGAATCTTGTCCAGTTCTAATGCTATATTTATGTTGTTTTAATCTTAGTTTGAGATTTTTACCAGTTTGACCGTAATAAACTTTATCGCAAATTTTACAAGGAATCTTATAGATAAAGATAAAGTTTATTACGGTCAAACTGGTAAAAATCTCGAACTAAGATTAAAACAACATAAATATAGCATTAGAACTGGACAAGATTCCAATGCTCTATTTATTCATGTAAGAGATTTTAACCCTTTCAGGGTCCGTCCCGTAGATCTACGGCTTTACAGTGAGTGTCCAAACCGTAGATCTACGCCATGAGCTCAGCTCACTCTGATAAACTGTGAGTGGTACATTTGGGCCTAGATATGAGAGAATACATCTATGTGGTATGTGTGCACCACATAAAACAGATCCTGCAGCACACTGTGTATAATGAGAGAAAAAAACTGAAATCATGATTTTTCGATTAAAACAGCAACTTTGCAGTGTTTTGTCGTATGTTTTTTATAGTTGTATTTGCAATTTCTTGGTCTCATTTGATAGAATGGAAGACATATTACAGAAATAGAGATGATTTTCATTGGTTTTAGCACTGGAAATGGCTTGAAACTGAGCTCAAAGTAGCGGAAATGTTAAATTTTTGCCGATATTCAAGAGTAAACAAACGACCTCACACGTCTAATACACGTCAGCTGGTGGGTCTAATATACATTCACAAATATGGTGATGATATTTATACAATTATTACAGTATTGCATAACAGTAAATCTTCTATTTTTTGGTGTGAATAAAAATTCATTATGTGAATAAAAAATCAAAATGGAATTTATTTGTAAAGCCTCAAAACATAACTAATGAACAGAGGAAATGTTAGTTTAGTGCCAGGAATGCCTACATTGTTTATTCTGGACCCTATTTTGAAATTGGAATATTTTGAACTTTGTGTTAAATTGGCCAAATTAACAATTTCCGATCACTTTATTTTGTAGTTGAAACAGTTGACTTGGCGATTTCTTGTGCTCAATCGATAGAATAGAAGTAATACTAGTGAAATAGCTAAGAATTTGGTTGATTGGAATAATGTAATTGGCCTAAAATGAGAGTCAAAGTCGGCAAAATCGCCGATTCGTAAACATCACTGACACATCAAAATTCGCGAGAGCATAATTTCGTCAATTTTCCACCAAATTTCGTACTTTTTGTTTTATTACCTTCACAAAAAGATTCTCTACGATTTCATAAGAAAAAATAACAAATTTTTTTTTTTTAAATTCTTGGACACTGGTGCGTGACTCCAGATTTGGGCCTTGGACCCTGAAAGGGTTAACCATCCAACTGATTTTCAAAAAGTTGAGAAAGTAGTATCAAGCAAGTCCATGGTCGACAGGAATATAATTGAATCTTGTTTCATAAAAAGCAGTTTTGACAATAATACGAATATTTCCTTTGGTTTATATAAATTAGATCCATTTATAATTAATAGAATTTGGGAAGAATTTAATAATACACTGGACAAATAATAATTTTTAAATTTTCTTTGGTAGAATACTTTGTGGGTGAGTTGTGCAAAGGACCTATCCAAGTTGGGTCGGCGCGCATCAGGTGTTTAACCGTTGTGGGATCTGATAGTGAGGTGCTGGCCACACCCCTTATATAGCTTCCTTGGATGCTTTACTTTCATAGTTCCTTGATAATGTGAGTAGTCACGAAAGCGCTTGGAATTTCTCTATTCTTTCAGAGTGGTTGTTTTGCATTTTTTTTTTTTTTTTTCAACAAGTCGGCCGTCTCCCACCGAGGCAGGGTGACCCAAAAAAGAAAGAAAATCCCCAAAAAGAAAATACTTTCATCATCATTCAACACTTTCACCACACTCGCACATTATCACTGTTTTTGCAGAGGTGCTCAGAATACAACAGTTTAGAAGCATACACATATAAAGATACACAACATATCCCTCCAAACTGCCAATATCCCAAACCCCTCCTTTAAAGTGCAGGCATTGTACTTCCCATTTCCAGGACTCAAGTCCGATTATATGAAAATAACCGGTTTCCCTGAATCCCTTCACTAAATATTACCCTGCTCACACTCCAACAGATCGTCAGGTCCCAAGTACCATTCGTCTTCATTCACTCCTATCTAACACGCTCACGCACGCTTGCTGGAAGTCCAAGCCCCTTGCCCACAAAACCTCCTTTACCCCCTCTCTCCAACCCTTTCGAGGACGACCCCTACCCCGCCTTCCTTCCCCTATAGATTTATATGCTTTCCATGTCATTCTACTTTGATCCATTCTCTCTAAATGACCAAACCACCTCAACAACCCCTCTTCTGCCCTCTGACTAATACTTTTATTAACTCCACACCTTTTCCTAATTTCCACACTCCGAATTTTCTGCATAATATGTACACCACACATTGCCCTTAAACAGGACATCTCCACTGCCTCCAACCGTCTCCTCGCTGCTGCATTTACCACCCAAGCTTCACACCCATATAAGAGTGTTGGTACTACTATACTTTCATACATTCCCTTCTTTGCCTCCATAGATAACGTTTTTTGACTCCACATATACCTCAACGCACCACTCACCTTTTTTCCCTCATCAATTCTATGATTAACCTCATCCTTCATAAATCCATCCGCTGACATGTCAACTCCCAAGTATCTGAAAACATTCACTTCTTCCATACTCCTCCTCCCCAATTTGATATCCAATTTTTCTTTATCTAAATCATTTGACACCCTCATCACCTTACTCTTTTCTATGTTCACTTTCAACTTTCTACCTTTACACACATTCCCAAACTCATCCACTAACCTTTGCAATTTTTCTTTAGAATCTCCCATAAGCACAGTATCATCGGCAAAAAGTAACTGTGTCAATTCCCATTTTGAATTTGATTCCCCAAAATTTAATCCCACCCCTCTCCTGAACACCCTAGCATTTACTTCCTTTACAACCCCATCTATAAATATATTAAACAACCATGGTGACATTACACATCCCTGTCTAAGACCTACTTTTACCGGGAAGTAGTCTCCCTCTCTTCTACACACCCCTAACCTGAGCCTCACATCCTCATAAAAACTCTATACAGCATTTAATAACTTACCACCTATTCCATATACTTGCAACATCTGCCACATTGCTCCTCTATCCACTCTATCATATGCCTTTTCTAAATCCATAAATGCAATAAAAACTTCCCTACCTTTGTCTAAATACTGTTCACATATATGCTTCAATGTAAACACTTGATCTACACATCCCCTACCCACTCTGAAACCTCCTTGCTCATCCGCAATCCTACATTCTGTCTTACCTCTAATTCTTTCAATTATAACCCTAACCGTACACTTTTCCTGGTATACTCAGTAAACTTATTCCTCTATAATTTTTACAGTCTCTTTTGTCCCCTTTCCCTTTATATAAAGGGACTATACATGCTCTCCGCCAATCCCTAGGTACCTTCCCCTCTTTCGTACATTTATTAAACAAAAGTACCAACCACTCCAACACTATATCCCCCCTGCTTTTAACATTTCTGTCATGATCCCATCAGTTCCAGCTGCTTTACCCCCTTTCATTTTACATAATTCCTCATGTACCTCCCCCACACTTACATTCTGCTCTTCTTCACTCCTAAAAGATGGTATACCTCCCTGACCAGTGCATGAAATTACTGCCTCTGTTTCTTCCTTAACATTTAAAAGTTCCTCAAAATATTCTCGCCATCTACCTAATACCTCCATCTCCCCATCTACTAACTCCCCTACTCTGTTTTTAACCGACAAATCCATACTTTCCCTAGGCTTTCTTAACTTGTTTAACTCACTCCAAAATTTTTTCTTATTTTCATTAAAATTTCTTGACAGTGCCTCTCCCACTCTATCATCTGCTCTCCTTTTGCACTCTCTCACCACACTCTTTACCTTTCTTTTACTCTCCATATACTCTGCTCTTCTTATAACACTTCTGCTTTGTAAAAACCTCTCATAAGCTACCTTTTTCTCTTTTATCACACCCTTTACTTCATCATTCCACCAATCACTCCTCTTTCCTCCTGCCCCCACCCTCCTAAAACCACAAACTTCTGCCCCACATTCTAATACTGCATTTTTAAAACTATTCCAACCCTCTTCAAGCCCCCCACTACTCATCTTTGCACTAGCCCACCTTTCTGCCAGTAGTTGCTTATTTTCTCACCCGAACTTTCTCCTCCTTAGTTTATACATTTTCACCTCCCTCTTACTTGTTGTTCCCCAACCTTTCCCTTTCGTTTCCCATCTATCTCTTACTCTAATTGTAGCTACAACAAAATAATGATCCGATATATCAGTTGCCCCTCTATAAACATGTACATCCTGGAGCCTACCCATAAACCCTTTTTAATCCACCAATACAAAAATCTAATAAACTACTTCATTACGTGCTACATCATACCTTGTATATTTATTTTATCCTCTTTTTCATAAAATATGTATTACTTTATTACCAAATCTCTTTCTACACATAGCTCAATTAAAGGCTCCCCATTTACATTTACCCTGGCACCCCAAATTACCTACTCCTCCCTCCATAACTTTTTTTACCCATTTTACCATTGAAATCCCCACCCCCAAATAACTCTCACACTTGATTCAAAACTCCCCACGCATTCACTCAACATTCCCCAAAATCTCTCTCTCTCTCCTCTACACTTCTCTCTTCTCCAGGTGCATACACGCTTATTATAACCCACTTTTGACATCCAATCTTTATTTTACTCCACATAATCCTTGAATTAATACATTTATAGTCCCTCTTCCTGCCATAGCTTATCCTTCAACATTATTGCTACTCCTTCTTTAGCTCTAACTATATTTGAAACCCCCTGACCTAATCCCATTTATTCCTCTCCACTGAAACTCTCCCACCCCCTTCAGCTTTGTTTCACTTAAAGTCAGGACATCCAGCTTCTTCTCATTCATAACATCCACAATCATCTCTTTCTTATCATCTGCACAACATCCACGCACATTCAGACTTCCCACTTTGACAATTTTCTTCTTCTTATTCTTTTTAGTAATCTTTACAGGAAAAGGGGTTACTACCCATTGTTCCCGGCATTTTAGTTGACTTTTACAACACGCATGGCTTACGGAGGAAAGATTCTTATTCCACTTCCCCATGGATATAAAAGGAAAAGTAATAAGACCAAGAACTATTAAGATAAAATCAAAGAAAACTCAGATGAGTGTGTGTATAAATAAATGTGTACATGTATGTGAAGTGTGACCTAAGTGTAAGTAGAAGTAGCAAGACATACCTGTAATCTTGCATATTTATGAGACAGACAAAAGACATCAGCAATCCTACCATCATGTAAAACAATCACAGGCTTTCGTTTTACACTCACTTGGCAGGACGGTAGTACCTCCCTGGGTGGTTGCTGTCTACCAACCTTCTACCATATATATATATATATTATATATATATATATATATATATATATATATATATATATATATATAATATATATATATTATATAATATATTATATATAATATATATATATATATATATATATATATATATATATTTTGGCAGTTTGGAGGGATATGTTGTGTATCTTTATACGTATATGCTTCTAAACTGTTGTATTCTGAGCACCTCTGCAAGAGCAGTGATAATGTGTGAGTGTGGTGAAAGTGTTGAATGATAATGAAAGTATTTTCTTTTTGGGGATTTTCTTTCTTTTTTGGGTCACCCTGCCTCGGTGGGAGACGACCGACTTGTTGAAAAAAAATATATAATATATATATATATATATATATATATATATATATATATATATATATATATATATATATATAATATAATTTTTGAGGAACTTTTTAAATGTTGAGGAAGAAAGGGAGGTGGTAATTTCATTCACTGGTCAGGGAGGTATACCATCTTTTAGGAGTGAAGAAGAGCAGAATGTAAGTGTGGGGGAGGTACATGAGGCATTACGTAGAATGAAAGGGGGTAAAGCAGCTGGAACTGATGGGATCATGACAAATGTTAAAAGCAGGGGGGGATATAGTGTTGGAGTGGTTGGTACTTTTGTTTAATAAATGTATGAAAGAGGGGAAGGTACCTACGGATTGGGGGAGAGTATGTATAGTCCCTTTATATAAAGGGAAAGGGAAAAAAGAACTGAAAAATTATAGAGGAATAAGTTTATTGAGTATACCAGGAAAAGTGTATGGTAGGGTTAAAAATTGAAAGAATTAGGGATAAAACAGAATGTAGGATTGCGGATGAGCAAGGAGGTTTCAGAGTGGGTAGGGGATGTGTAGAATCAAGTGTTTACATTGAAGCATATATGTGAACAGTATTTACATAAAGGTAGGGAAGTTTTTATTGCTTTTAAGGATTTAGAAAAGGCATATGATAGAGTGGATAGGGGAGCAATGTGGCAGATGTTGCAAGTATATGGAATAGTGGTAAGTTACTAAATGCTGTAAAGAGTTTTTATGGGGATAGTGAGGCTCGGGTTAGGGTTGTAGAAGAAAGGGAGACTACTTTCCCGGTAAAAGTTTTGGGCTTAGACAGGGATGTGTAATGTCACCATGGTTGTTTAATATATTATAGATGGGTTTTAAAAGAAGTAAAGCTAGGGTGTTCGGGAGAGGGGTGGGATTAAATTATGGGGAATCAAATTCAAAATGGAAAAAACACAGTTACTTTTTTCTGATAATACTGTGCTTATGGGAGATTCAAAGAAAAATTGCAAAGGTTGTGGATGAGTTTGGGAATGTGTGTAAAGGTAGAAAGTTGAAAGTGAACATAGAAAAGGGGTAAGGTGATGAGGGTATCAAATATTTAGATAAAGAAAAATTGGGTATCAAATTGGGGAGGAGGAGTATGGAAAAGTAAATGTTTTTCAGATACTTGAGTTGACGTGTCGCGGATGGATTTATGAAGGATGAGGTTAATCATAGAATTGATGAGGGAAAAAAGGTGAGTGGTGCATTGAGGTATATGTGGATCAAAAAACGTTATCTATGGAGGCAAAGAAGGGAATGTATGAAAGTATAGTAGTACCAACACTCTTATATGGGTGTGAAGCTTGGGTGGTAAATGCAGCAGCGAGGAGACGGTTGGAGGCAGTGGAGATGTCCTGTTTAAGGGCAATGTGTGGTGTAAATATTATGCAGAAAATTCGGAGTGTGGAAATTAGGAGAAGGTGTGGAGTTAATAAAAGTATTAGTCAGAGGGCAGAAGAGGGGTTGTTGAGGTGGTTTGGTCATTTAGAGAGAATGGATCAAAGTAGAATGACATGGAAAGCATATAAATCTATAGGGGAAGGAAGGCGGGGTAGGGGTCGTCCTCGAAAGGGTTGGAGAGAGGGGGTAAAGGAGGTTTTGTGGGTAAGGGGCTTGGACTTCCAGCAAGCGTGCGTGAGCGTGTTAGATAGGAGTGAATGGAGACGAATGGTACTTGGGACCTGACGATCTGTTGGAGTGTGAGCAGGTAATATTTAGTGAAGGGATTCAGGGAAACCGGTTATTTTCATATAGTCGGACTTGAGTCCTGGAAATGGGAAGTACAATGCCTGCACTTTAAAGGAGGGGTTTTGGGATATTGGCAGTTTGGAGGGAAAATGTTTGTGTATCTTTATATGTGTATGCTTCTAGACTGTTGTATTCTGAGCACCTCTGCAAAAACAGTGATAATGTGCGAGTGTGGTGAAAGTGTTGAATGATGATGAAAGTATTTTCTTTTTGGGGATTTTCTTTCTTTTTTGGGTCACCCTGCCTCGGTGGGAGACGGCCGACTTGTTGAAAAAAAAAAAAAAAAAAAAAATATATATATATATATATATATATATATATATATATATATATATATATATATATATATATATATATATATATTATATATATATATATATATACACACACACACACACACACACACACACACACACACACACACACACACACACACACACACACACACACACACACACACACACACACACACACACACACACACACACACACACACACACACACACACACACACACACACACACACACACACACACACACACACACACACACACACACACACACACACACACACACACACACACACACACACACACACACACACACACACACACACACACACACACACACACACACACACACCACACACACACACACACACACACACACACACACACTCTACAAATAAACCACAATTCAGAGAGGAAATTTAAGATGACATTTCAGTCCATTCTGGACTAGTATCAAGCTATGTCGTGAATTGTTCCAACCACAGTTTTGCTATGTGCATGTCTTTATGCAATAAACTTTTAATATAAAAAAAGGATCTGCTGTACTGGATTTGTTTATAGTTTACCAGTTAAATATGTCAATAGCTTGCATGTGCATCAGACACAACATGTACACCATGTGCATTCTGTCATGTGTTCATGTATCTGTAAGATGGGTGGATCACTCAACATGGCTCTGCATTGTACTTGGACTTATTAAAATCTTATTTAAGGCAAAGTGACTGAACATATCTACGCTCACCACTGAGGTGTTGCAACATTATTCATTGTGCTCATAAAGCAGTTTCATCAGATGAGTTCCAAGCCCCTAGGTACATTCCTTACACAACATTACCAGTAATTATCATTGCAACGTGGAGTACCAGCATGCAACATATTTTTAAAAAACATTCACTACATGAAACTGTAGTTTTGTCTGGTTTTATACCTGTCAGACAGTATGTTGTAACCATATTAGTAACTCTGAAGTATCTTGTATATTATAATCATGTACCTGCTGTGTGTAATCATGTTGATGCATTATAAATATTGATGTGCTGTATATTTATTTTTTTCTTTTCAGTGCACTTCCTATCCTTGACTCAGATGAGGTAAGATGGTTGTCAACATTTATTTAATTATTAAAGAGCCTTAAGTATATTATAGTCTGCTTAGGATGTTTCTTAGCCCTCTTTACAATATTGGCATTTTCCTCCGAGGGCCTCATATAATATAAATTCACTGCTGATCTCATGTTCAGTAATGTATATGGTAGAGGTATGAAAACTGGAGACAAATGGTTTTTAATACTTGACGTGCTGTTGGAGTGTGAGCAAAGTAACATTTATGAAGGGATTCAGGGAAACCAGCAGGCCGGACTTGAGTCCTGGAGATGGGAAGTACAGTGCCTGCACTCTGAAGTAGGGGTGTTAATGTTGCAAACTGTAGTGTAAAGCACCCTTCTGGCAAGACAGTGATGGAGTGAATGATGGTGAAAGTTTTTCTTTTTCGGGCCACCCTACCTTGGTGGGAATCGGCCAGTGTGCTAATGAAAAAAATTATAAAATAAAAACTGGGCGTTTATTTTATTTTAATATCCAGTACTATATTTTGTACATAGACTAAGTATACCTCCCTCAGTCACCCTAATGAGATTGAATTATGTGTAGCTACATTTTTGCTGGCTCTCAGTATGCAGTAAAAAAAAATGGCCATATATAACTAATACTGTATCTTTAATTCTTTTCTCAGGAAATTGTTACGTCAAAATTTGAGGTCTCCAAGATGCAGTAAGAATGTCAAACATCGAGGATGCAAATCCATTCCACTAAACTGTTTTCCTTACTTCCGAGTGCATTATTGATGATTTTTTTTTTGTAATATGAAATTGCCAAATTTTCTTGATAATTACTAGATTTTTGCTTTTGAACTAATTATATATATGAATGCTGTGTTTGTAGAGTTTTCTGTTTTAATGTAATGTTCAAGGGCATAAGACTTCCTTAAATAATAGTCTACTGATCTAGAGTAGTCACTGTTGTATATAATCCATTTTCTAGAATATGTTACCATGGTTTTTATACTGAAGCAAATGTTTATTGGGTGTTGTTTTAAATGGATTGAGAGGTTTCATATCCTATGTTTTTCAGTGTTATGCCTTTTCATTTAAAGCTTAATATTTATGGAAATAAAATTTATTGAACAAATATGCTTAATGAATTATAACACGGTAGAGTGACAGTAGAATTCATAAGCTGTCAGGATCAATTATGAATTTTGCTTTCAAGTTTTTTTGGAATGATCCTCATATATAATAAAACCATAGCATTTTTATAGGTATGTTACATATGATAATGGGTTTTTAATTAAGTAATTTTTTGTACTTGCAAAGGTCAAGAGTTCATTAAATCTATGGTATAGGTATACCTATAAACAAATTAGATGAAGAAAGTGTACTTACCACTCCCTGTATTAGTTGTCCTTTTTCAAACACACTATATACATGGTTTAGAAAAACATGTAAGCAAACACTAGGACATATTTATTAGAAAACTTCTTAGTCCTAGGACCTTGTCCACTTCTGGTTATATACTGAAGTGATCAAGGTCCTTGACCTGGTACCTCGATCACTTCTGGTTCTAGGACCAAAACATTTTCTAATAAATATGTCCTGGTGTTTGCTTACATGTTTTTCTAAATCAACTTGTCGCTATTTATTACCAAGGCTTATACCACACTATATACATATACAGTATACATATAATGTAGCATTTATATGTCTGAGTAGGTGAAGTTGAAGAAAATAAAGTGAATATATATTCTGCAACAATACGAGTACAAGTATCTGGCTGCACACCTGATACATTGCTGATCAAATCTTCCAATTCAGATCATCATAAGCCTTAGTACTAAGGGTATTAGGGATTTGTTCTTTAATATTAATATCAGTGTCAGAGCTTCATATTATAAGGCCTCTTTCTAATACATATGAGACTTTTTTTTTTAATACACACATCCCATATTGTAGACGTCTGCATCACTTTCTGCTAAGTAATCAATGATTACTTCAACATAATAGATCTTGTTTATCTAAATTGGATATAAATATGTTCCATTGAACGTTCTTCAGCTGATTCTTTATCACTGTAGTCTCTTCACTGTTTACAGTACCTGTTTGAGTTTAAGACTGGGCTGTAATACTATGTCTGCTCAAATGAATGTTTGATAATGAGGAAATTTTTTGTCAATCAGTCCATTCTTAAATGTCTTGATCACATAGGTCCTTATCATAACTCATTTATTTAGCTATTTCAACCTTTAAGTTTTCACAGAACTTTCTTTGATAACGAAATATGCCAGAGCATGTGTTCAATGGTAATTTTTCAGAAACATTTCGTAACTACCACTTTTTTAAACTCGGCACAGTCATTCAGTATTCTGTTGCAGTATTTTAATTTAAATTATCTTATAACTTTTGATCTATGAGTTTGAAAAAGAATATGCAGTTAGTGGTATATATGTAGCAAAAAATTGTCAGAATCTTATTTTTCAACTGATCCTTGAGCAGCAGAATGATGCAATTCTTTTTGGTCATTATGCACAAACTGTTTCTGAAACCATTGGGTAGTAAAGTTTTGTGTATTCCAGACAACAGGTGTAACGTCTTTTTTTCTTTTTCCCCTTTGATCTTTGTCACAAATTTCTCATCTTTACACAAGAATGCCAGACAGTACTTCTTTAAAGTAATCCTGTTAAATCTGCATTGTGGATTTTCTTAGGAGTTATAATGATGTTAAAAAATGCTTAACCAATTTTGATCATTCAGTGCTTGTTTAGGAGTTAAATTATACTCTTTCACCTATTTGTATATAGTAAATCAGTACTGGTCTTGTCGTACAAGTGTGAAATGATGTTAAATGTTTTGCAGTGGTTGAACTGCTGATTTTTTTTTTTTCTGTTTCATGAACCTGTAAGATCCTAGGTAGTAGGTTGGTAGACAGCAACCTCCCAGAGAGGTACTGCAGTCCTGCCAAGTGAGTATAAAATGGAAACCTGTAATTGTTTTACATGATGGCAGATTGCTGGGTTTTTTCTGTCTCATAAACATGCTAGATTTCAAGTACATCTTGCTACTTCTACTTACACATAGGTCACACTACACATGCATGTACAAACATATATATACACATACCCCTCTGGGTTTTCTTCTATTTTCTTGTTGTTCTTGTTTATTTCTGCTTATCTCCATGGGTGTGTGGAACAGAATTCTTCCTCCGTAAGAGTTGTAAGAGGTGACTAAAGTCCCAGGAGCAAGGGGCTAGTAGCCCCTTCTCTTGTGTACATTACCAAAGTTAAAAAGAGAAACTTGTGTTTTTCATTTTTGGGCCACCCTGCTTTGGTGGGATATGACCAGTTTGTTGAAAGAAGAAAAAACAACCTGTAAGATGATGGGTAAATCCAGTAAGTAAGACACATAGGCAACATTTAGGCATCTTTATTCCGAAACATTTCGCCTACACAGTAGGCTTCGTCAGTCGAGTACTGAAAGTAGGAAAAGTAGAGATGTGAAGACGATGTAATCAGTTCATCACTTGACAATGTAGATTTGAGGTTGTCAGTCCCTTAGCCTGGAGAAGAATTCTGTTTCATAGTCTGAAGCAATGTGAAGAACCAGCAACGATGTGAAAACTTGTAAACTGTCGGCAGGAGAAGTGTAGAGTAGTAGAAGAAAGAATGTAATCACTTAGAGATCACATCCCTCTCAGACCCAACCATTCTCTCTTGAAAAAGTTGTCCAGGGTGTTTTGTCTTCTGTACCAAGATGCCATTGTGATGCAGTGTCTGACAGAATGAAACTCAAAATGGCATACAATACCAACAAGTTGGTAAGTAAGATATATAGGTAACATTTAGGCATCTTTATTCTGAAACATTTCGCCTACACAGTAGGCTTCTTCAGTCGAGTATAGAAAGTAGGACAGTATGTAAGTCTAAACACCGTCGCTGGTTCTTCACATTGTTTCAGACTATGAAACCGAATTCTTCTCCAGGCTAAGGGACTGACAACCTCAAATCTACATTTTCAAGGGTGATGGACTGATTACACCATCTTCACATCTCCACTGCTCCTACTTTCTGTACTCGACTGAAGAAGCCTACTATGTAGGCGAAACGTTTTGGAATAAAGATGCCTATGTGTCATACCAACTTGTCAGTATTGTATGCCATTTTGATATTCACAGGTAAATCTACTTACTTTCAGTATACACTTTAAATTTTCTTTCTTTGATTTTAATAGTTCCTATTCTTATAAATATTGAATTTCCACTTAAGGAGACCCTGAACCTAGGCTTTGGGTGGCAGAGATCACCAGAACAATAAACAAATGTAAAATATGGTTAACAGACAAAATAGTGAATTCTTTCAAATAGTCTTGAGCAGCATCTTGATTCGCAAGTTCTTTTGCCATAGGTTTTAATCTAATAAATACCATGGCACTTCTTAAACCTGTCCAGCAAACCATGGGAATATTCAAACTTTTGTTTTTAATCTTTAGATCATTTTGAAAAATTTTGGCCCCATCATAATATAACAAGAAATAGGTACACCACTGTGTCATTTGCAATCACTTTCAGAATTTTACTTGAGCTGTTTGTTGTGCATTGCATTTTGACAAGAGCTTAGAAATGCATAAAGTAATCCACCCTCAATTTTTTTTAGGAATTCTATTCAAATTTTGTTTTTAATCTTTAGGTCATTTTGAAAAATTTTGGCCCTCGTCAAAATTTAACAAGAAATAGCTACACCATTGCATCATTTACAATCATTTTCAGAATATTACTTGAGCTGTTTGTTGTGCAATGCAGTTTAACAAGAGCTTGGAAATGCATACAGTACTCCACCCTCAAGTTTTTTAGGAATTCTGCTTTTGACTCGCTCATCAGAGAAATATTTTTTAAATAACACTTGAAAGTCTAACAAACTGTCAGCACCTGTTCTGCTCTTTTTACATTTGCTACACATATATTTTGTGTATTACATTCCCCAGCATCCTCAGCAGAGATAGGATTATTTTCCAGAATACTGCAATAAGTTAAAATTTTATATAAATACTATATTGTACTTGATATCCATGAGAGATACACTCTTGAAGAAGCTCAATGCAGGTGGTGACCTTGTAGATAATAAATTGTGTATTCCAGTGAAAAAAGAAAATACAGTAGTCTGTCATCAGTTAATGAATAACTAGTGGTCTAAAATACCTGATTTTTCAAAAGGGCTTTTACAATATGTAATAATTAAAAAATTGGTTAGATCTCTGAAAGGTGAAGGTGAGTGTTTGTTATGGCCCCAGTGTTTGTATTGTAATAGCCACTGGCCCTAAGATTGTATGTTTATCATTTTACTTTGCACAAAAGATAGTACAGTACTAAACAGACAATAGTAGTAAAGATGCGATATATGATACAGTAGGAGACACAATAGATGGTATAGTGATAAATTAGACACATGTGCAACTCTTGGGTATCTTTATTGAGGAAACGTTTCACCACACAGTGGCTTCATCAGTCCAAATGTAGGAGAAACTTGAAGAACAGGAGGAGAATGAGGTAATCAGTCCCTCAACCTTGAGTCGATGTGTTCAGTCCATCAATCTTCAAGTTTCTCCTACGTTTGGACTGATGAAGCCACTGTGTGGCGAAACGTTTCCTCAATAAAGATACCCAAGAGTTGCACATGTGTCTAATTTATCAACATGTCGGTTCTCTGAACCATTCATCTACAAAGATGGTATAGTGGTAGAGAGACAAGAGGGAGTAAAGTGATCGGAAATTCTTAATTTGGCCAATTTAACACAAAGTTCAAAATATTCCAATTTCAAAATAGGGTCCAGAATAAACATTGTAGGCATTCCTGGCACTAAACTAACATTTCCTCTGTTCATTAGTTATGTTTTGAGGCTTTACAAATAAATTCCATTTTGATTTTTTATTCACATAATGAATTTTTATTCACACCAAAAAATAGAAGATTTACTGTTATGCAATACTGTAATAATTGTATAAATATCATCACCATATTTGTGAATGTATATTAGACCCACCAGCTGACGTGTATTAGACGTGTGAGGTCGTTTGTTTACTCTTGAATATCGGCAAAAATTTAACATTTCCGCTACTTTGAGCTCAGTTTCAAGCCATTTCCAGTGCTAAAACCAATCAAAATCATCTCTATTTCTGTAATATGTCTTCCATTCTATCAAATGAGACCAAGAAATTGCAAATACAACTATAAAAAACATACGACAAAACACTGCAAAGTTGCTGTTTTAATCGAAAAATCATGATTTCAGTTTTTTTCTCTCATTATACACAGTGTGCTGCAGGATCTGTTTTATGTGGTGCACACATACCACATAGATGTATTCTCTCATATCTAGGCCCAAATGTACCACTCACAGTTTATCAGAGTGAGCTGAGCTCATGGCGTAGATCTACGGTTTGGACACTCACCGTAAAGCCGTAGATCTACGGGACGGACCCTGAAAGGGTTAAAGTTTTCCCTCCAAATTGTGGGTTGTAAATAGATAGCAGTAGTATGTACCACTTCACAATAATAGTATGTATTACTACACTATAATAGATAATATGTACTACTACACTATAACAACAATACTGTACTAATGTAATGAACTACTACATTATAATAGTGTGTACTATGTCACTGTAATAGATAGTATGTACCAATACACTATAATAAATGGTAGCATGTATACTACACCATGGTATAGTAGCAGTTTGTAGTACTACACTATAATACAGTACAGTAAAACCTCTATTTAAGGATATTGAATTTAAATCAGTTGTCAGGAAAAGTTCATTGTTTTCAGAATTGTCCATTATTGTTACAGTTCACTGGGTTAATATGAGATTTAACACAAAATCCGTTATTTCTAGAAATGTCAGTTACTGTTACAATCAATTGGGTAAATTGGTTTTCAGACTTAATAAAATCTGTTGTTTCCAGAGCTGTCGGTTATTGTTATGATCATGGCAAAACAGTATCATAATTTGGATTTAGCAGGTAGTTGGCATGACTGGACACTTCTTCCCCCATCACTGTTAAATCAAGGTTTCATTGTACAGTACTACAGTTGAGCTCCCTATTTTGTTGGGGTTTAGTTTCTAGATATCCCTGCGAATACAGAATTCACAATTACAGTACAATTAAATTCTGTCCATATGATAAGTTTTGCTGTAGATCTTGTCATATATTGTGTTTCAGAAGACATATCTCTCTAAATACTACTTTAGCTTCATAAATATTGGCATTCATGAGAAAGAATATCCAGGAATTTAAGAGGTTTGTACATGGAAAACTTGGTGAGCACATTTTAATGTCAATCAGCTCATTTTCTATTCAGGGGCCATGCACCAAAACCAAAGAAAATAAGCACTGAATAATCGAATACCCTTCAGTAAAAACGTTGGATAATCAAAGTGCTCAATTTGGAACACCACACATTTTGGGGCTCAGTTTTAATTGTAATAAAACCAAATATTGGTTAAATAGTTGAATGTCATAGCTTTCTGGGAGGTTGTGCCTCATGGTGGATTGAGTATCAGTGGGAGCAGGCATTGGCAACTCTTATTTTACTCAAATAATTCAAAAAGAAAACTGTCTAATTTCATACACACTTAAAGTCTGGGAATGTGGGAACTTTCTAATTATTTCAAACAAAAGAATATTTCATAAATCATCTCCAGTATGCAGTACTATACTGTAGTACTTGAGGTTGATGACAAATGAGAATTACATAGTTGCTTTCTAGTGACCAAAATAAAAAAAAAACGCACATGCATGCAGACGCACGCATGCATGTACATACATATTTACATTTACAGATATTATTATTATAATTAAAAGGAAGCATTAAACCTACTAGGGTCATACAGCACTGCAGGGTAGGAACTGATGCAGGATCTAAGGATAAGTAAGGATGGAGAGGACAAAGGTAAAGTTAGGAAGGGCTGCGAGGAGTGTTAAGGAAGGATTATCAAAGTTTGTGTAATCATTTGCTGTCAAAAAGTTGAAGAAGAAGTGTGTCAAAGGTGGGGCCATCAGCAAGGAGGGATAATGAAGTGTGTCAGAATGGTGACGACGTCAGAGGAAAATTCTGCATTCTCGTTGATAGACGTAACAGTCCAATAGAATATGGGAAACTGAAACAGGAACTAGACAATTCTCACAAAGTGGAACAGGATGCTTCTCCATGAGATACCCACGAGTTAGACAAGTGTGTCCGATGCAAAGATGAGTGTTGTCTCCCAACCTCGGTATCAATGACAAGAAGGCCAGAAACCCAAGCTTGGTTTGTTAGAATGTAAGTTGTTATGAGTTATATCAGACAAATATTGTTGCCAACGGCTGCAAAGGCGAGTAGAGATTACGGCAAAATAGAGAATAAAATACCTCAGCCTCTTCAAGGGGGGCTCCTTGGCGTGGTGAAGAGGCTCTTGGTCTGAGGAATTAGACCTGTCAGTCTCCTTCCTCAGACCGAACCTAATTACCCCCCAATCCCCCGTTCCCTATCCCATCCTCCCCATCCTCCCCTTTTTCCTTTCCTCCTCCTCCTCCCCACCCCTCCCTTTTGCCCTTCCTTTTTGGCCTTTCGGATTTTTACCCCACAGGCACGCTAGTTCCTAGGTAGGAGAAAGGGTACAGGGGTCCATCCCATTCCATTGAGGTTCTTAGCGGTGGTGTAGTTTGCCGTGGAATCTGGATTGCCCGGGGATGTCCCGATCCCTCTCCGGTATCCCGGAGGGTTGCTTTGGGTGTCTCTCGGGCAACGGGTGTATCTCTGGAAGCCACCTTTCGGATTCCGGGGGTGGTGGCCGAAGGAGGTATGCTTTGTGGCGGATTTCCGGCCGCCCTCTCTTTTGTCCACCGAGGTAGCTCGGCAGATGTGAGGTTGCTATCCCGGATTGCCGGTTTACTGGCATGATGGGTAAGGTATGGCACGGGTTCCATGCTGCATCTGCGCTACTTGCGGTGCTTAGGTCCTCTTGGGCGCGGAGGGAGATTTCTGGCCCTTTCATTCCTCCTAGGAACTATCCCTCCCCTGTCCCCCCCTTTTTTATTCTTTTTTTTATTTTTATTTTCTTTTCTTCTTTCTTTTTTTTTTTTAAAAACAAAAAGAAAGAAGTAACCTAACCATGGCACCCCTAGTCCATGAACCTGCTACCCCCGGGCCCCTTCTTGATAACGCACCCTGTTCTGACCCCGCCTCGTCTTTGGACCGCTCTTCGGACACTCCTCATGCCTCTGTACCTCTTGCCAGTGCTGTTTTCTCACCCGCTTCAGGTACTGAGGCCTCGACTGACTCCTTCGATTTATCTGACCTTCGCTCTCTGACTATGCTTCCGGCCTCTCCCTCTACGGTGCGGCAATTTTCGAATCGCCAGCCCGTTCCACGTCGGACCAACTCTGTTCCCACGCCTAAACGCCAACGACAGTTACCTGCTGATGATACTTCTCCACCTTCTCGTTCTTCTCAGAAAAGATCGACACGTCCTTCACTACCTTTCCACGCTCAGTTTCAGACTGCACAATGGGGTAAATTCTTCACTTTACGACCGACTTCCTCTACTGCCTATCTTTCTGACCACAGTATTGGCAAGGCACTCCTACGCCATGTTGGTAAAGATATTTCTTTTCATGCTCTTAAGAGCGGTACGCGCATCATCACCGTACAGAATGCTACCCAGGCTCATGAGCTTTCTCGTCTTTCCCATATCGATACTGTTCCTGTCACTATTGACAAACATCATTCCCTCAATTCTTGTAGTGGTACTGTCATTCTGCCCCATACCATAGTTCAACAAAATTTCCAGACATGTGGCACTGACTTTCTTGAACAGCTGGAACTCCAAGATCTCCCAATCCTCAAGGTAGACACTTATGTTCTTCCTGCCCGCGGGCGGAGACGATACCCTAGCAATGTGGCTCGTTTAACTTTTGACAGCCGTGAACTCCCATCCTCAGTTTATGTAGCAGGACATCGGTTACAAGTTCGAAAGGTGATCCCTACACCGCAACAGTGTATAAATTGCTGGCGATTTGGCCATCCAGCGAAATATTGCAGATCTATCTCCGAATGCCCAGTCTGTGGTGCCGATGACCATTCTAATACGTCTTGCAATCGACCTCCCTCTTGCCTTAATTGTCATGAGGCTCACCCTTCGTACTCTCGCCGTTGTCAAGTCTACTTAAACGAGCGGGAAATCCGTTACCTCAGAGGCAGAAGGTCTCCCTTATGACATGGCAGTTTCTCATCTCCACCTCCAGGGGAGACTACCTCGTGTTTCTTATTCCCGTGTTTCAAAACGTCCCCCCACTTCTGGGATCCCATCTTCTGCAACCACCTCTGTGGCTACCTCTCCCATAGTCACTCCTGTATCTAATTCTTTTGCTGTCCTAGGCTCAGACGTCCCTACTTCAACGCCTCAGTCTGATCTCGGTTCTTCGTGTTCTCCCTCACAAGCCTCAGTAGCAACGAGATCTCGTATGACACCTCCTCCCAATCGTCCCTCTACTTCTCAAAAGTCAAAAAAAGGTCCGTTAACACCTCCTACCCATCTTCCACCTCCTCATTTTACCTTCCTTGTCTCTGTACCTGGTTCTTCCCCTCTCACTGGCTCTGTTACAAGTGTAGAGGTTCACCCTCCTCCTCGTACTGTACCTTCCTCCCCTGTTCCCTCCCAAGTTTCTTCCTCTTCTGCCACCTCCCAGGTTTCTGCCTCTTCTCTCCCCTTCCACGCTTCTCCAGTTCCCTCCACCCTTTCGCCCCCCCCCTACCTTGGTACAGTCCAATACAGTTCCAATCTTTACTCATCCTCCCCTACCATTTCCAATATTGTCTCCCATACGATGTCTCTGAATTCCGAAACACTTGAAGCAATCTCTGAATATATTGCAGAGACCAAACCATCAATGGACACTGATCCACCCTCCGTTCCTTCTCTCTCCTCTGCTCCATCTGCGCAACTCCTTTCTTCACAGTACACCGTTCCTTCGCTGCTTGAACGTTTTCCACTGCCTCCGCATGTGGACTTTTCTAACCCCTCTAGTCCGTAGGAACCCTTACCTGCGGATTTCAGGTATCTTTATCATTGCCAATCATGGCCTATTTACAGTGGAATATACACGGCCTCAGGGGTAATCGGGGTGAGCTTCAGATGTTACTCTCCCAGTTTTCCCCTGTTGGTGTTTGCTTACAGGAACCAAAATTACACTCTGCTGTTATCTCTCCCATCTCAGGCTATAATTTATTGTATTCTTCAGATCCTTTTCCTGATGGGACCTTTAATGAAAGTGCCCTTCTTCTACGCACTGATATTCCGTACCATCAGCTATTTGTTCGTACTTCGCTGCATTACACAGCAGCCCGTATCCACTTGCATAGGTGGTATACGCTCTGTTCTTTATATCTCTCTCCTTCTCGGGCATTATCTATTCCGGATATTGCCTTTCTTGTTTCGTCATTACCGCCACCGAATCTGTTACTTGGCGATTTTAATGCCCACCATTTCCTCTGGGGGGGGGGGGTCTCACTGTGATTCCCGTGGCATTCAGTTAGAGGCTTTTCTTGCCACCCACCCCCTCCATGTTTTAACCCCTTCAGGATCCAAGGCCCAAATCTGAAGTGGTACCCCAGTGTCCAAGAATTTTCAAAAAAAAAAATTTATTTTTTCCTATGAAATGGTAGAGAATCTTTTTGTGAAGGTAATAAAACAAAAATTACGAAATTTGATGGAAAATTGACGAAATTATGCTCTCGCGAATTTTGATGTGTCGGCGATATTTACGAATCTGCGATTTTGCCGACTTTGACTCCCAGTTTAGGCCAATTACATTATTCCAGTCAACCAAATTCTTAGCTATTTCACTAGTATTACTTCTATTCTATCGATTGAGCACAAGAAATCGCCAAGTCAACTGTTTCAACTACAAAATAAAGTGATCGGAAATTGTTAATTTGACCAATTTAACACAAAGTTCAAAATATTCCGATTTCAAAATGGGATCCAGAATAAACAATGTAGGTATTCCTGGAACTAAATTAACGTTTCCTCTGTTCATTAGTTACATTTTGAGGCTTTACAAATAAATTCCATTTTGATTTTTTATTCACATAATGAATTTTTATTCACACCAAAAAATAGAAGATTTACTGTTATGCAATACTGTAATAAGTGTATAAATATCATCACCATATTTGTGAATGTATATTAGACCCACTAGCTGACGTGTATTAGACGTGTGAGGTCGTTTGTTTACTCTTGAATTTAACATTTAAATTTAAATTTAACATTTCCACTACTTTGAGCTCAGTTACAAGCCATTTCCAGTGCTAAAACCAATCAAAATCATCTCTATTTCTGTAACATGTCTTCCATTCTATCAAATGAGACCAAGAAATTGCAAATACAACTATAAAAACATACGAAAAAACACTGCAATGTTGCTGTTTTAATCGAAAAATCATGATTTCAGTTTTTTTTCTCTCATTATACACAGTGTGCTGCAGGATCTGTTTTATGTGGTGCACACATACCACATAGATGTATTCTCTCATATCTAGGCCCAAATGTACCACTCACAGTTTATCAGAGTGAGCTGAGCGCATGACGTAGATCTACGGTTTGGACCCTGAACGTAAAGCCGTAGATCTACGGGACGGACCCTGAAAGGGTTAAATACAGGTACTCACACCCATTTTGATCCTCGGACTCACACACTCTCTTGCATTGATCTCTCAGTCTGCTCTTCCTCTGCCGCATTAGACTTCACTTGGTCTGTTCTCCCGGACTTACATGACAGCGATCATTTCCCAATCATTCTTTCTTCCCCTTCATATTCACCACCTCTTCGCATCCCACGCTGGCAATTTGATCAGGCAAATTGGAACCTTTACTCACACCTAACTGTTTTTAGAGTGGTTCCTTCTTCATCCTCCATCGATGAGCTTTTACACCTCTTCTCGTCCTCCGTTTTAACCGCAGCTTCTAATTGTATACCCCAAACTTCGTGCAGGCATTCTCAGAAATGCATGCCTTGGTGGTCTCCTGCTTGTGCTCGTGCAGTACGTTTGAAACGCGCTGCATGGGGCAGGTACCGGTACAATAGAACCACGGAGAGACTTCTTGATTTTAAGCAGAAGCGTGCGATCACTCGCCGTGTCATTCGTGACGCTAAACGTACTTGCTGGCGAGATTGTCTCCACCATCACCTCTGCTTCCTCTATGAGTGCAGTCTGGAAAAAGTACGAAAACTGAGTGGTAAATATTCTCCTGACCCGGCTCGTGTTCTGCGGGTTGCCGGTGTTGATATAGCAAACCCACTAGATGTTGCCAATGAAATTGGCAATCATCTGGTTCGTATTTCTCAGGGACTCCATCTATGCCCCTCGTTTCTTTCCTCAAAGTCTGCCAGAGAGTTAGCACCCTTGGACTTTTCTTCTCTCAGAGAAGAACAGTATAATGTGTTTTTTCACTTCAAGAAGGAGGAAACACTCTTAGCTTGCCGATCATGGGAAATTGGGGCCCGACACATTCATATTCAATGTCTTTACTAGTAGCCCTTTGCGCCCTTTTACGCCTTTAAAATCTTTTTTGGTCACAAGGAGTTCTTCCACAGGGGGGAAATTGCCATTGTTCCCCTTTTCGAAACCCAGGACTACGGGACATAAACCCTCCCTATCGTCCCTTTGCTCTTGCCATGCAGTTTGCAAAGTGATGGAACACCTGGAAAATAATGTTTGTGGGGTTTTAAGGGGACACACAACATTCCCAATCGTCAATATCTTTGAAAGGGGATGTTCTACCATAGACCTTACTCCCTTTGGATACGTATTTTCGTAATCCTTTGCGAATAACCACTCAGTTATTGCCAATTTTTTTGACCTGGAAGGCCATGACACAATTTGGAGGTTAAAATTTTGCCCAAGCCCACCCCTTTAGCCTTTCGAGGCAATCTACCCCCTTCCCTTTAAGAACTTTTTAACGACGGGCATTTCCGTGTTGGGGTTTAAATAATGTGCTCTCCCGGACTTTATAAAGCGAAGGGGTCCCCCAGGATGTTTCTGACACAACACTTTTTCTCCTTGCTTTTAATGTTTTTGGCTCAGTTCCATCAAATTTTTGGTCATACTCATTTTGTGACTTTGCTATTCCCCGTGCAGGCGCTGTGCCCACCTCATTACAGTTTCTCTCCAGCAGGGTCGACCGTGTTTCCAAATTTGGGGGCCACCAACATGGGTTTAAATTTTCCACACAAAACCCACCAAATTACTTTATGACGCTCTGTCATCCCCGATTGTCCTTTGTACCTCTATGGCTCCCGTACCCCTGAACGTGATACTGTACGAAAAGTTTCGGGGCCCTCCTCTTTGACCGTATTACCCTGGGAAAACCTCACTTAAAACCTTTAAAGGGCAACTTGTCACACCCGGGCTAACCTTTCTTAAAACCTTTTGCTTTTTCATGGGGGCTGTCGTCGAACCCCCCTTCGCCAAACTTTCCCCACCCTCATTTTATCGAAACTTGATTATGGTGCCCAAAATCTATTCAGGGGCATTGCTCTCCTCTAGCCTTTAACCCCATTCATCACCAAGGATTACGTTTATGCCTTGGGCTTTTTCCTCTTTCCCTGTCGAGAGCCCTACGCAGAAGCGAACTTCCTCCTTATGATCGCATGATGCCCATTCCCTTCGCTACTATTACGCTTTCATGATCCCCGCAATCCTTCCTTTTATAGAATGGTCATAATATTAGTAGACTTCTTTATTTGTTTGCCGCCCCTTTTTACTCCGCCCCTTTTCTCTTTACCTTCATTCGCTTCTTTCTTTCTTCAATTACCACCCTTTTTATGTTCATGTGCACCTCACTTTTCCCTACCCCCCCGGAATTCCAGCTGTTCGAGTCTTTTTTTCCTCCCCTTGCTCGAAAGCCAACTGCTCGGTCGCTTCCCCCTCTCTTTTTTTTTGACCCCCTTCCCCTCTATTCTCATCCTTTTTTGTGTACACAGATGGGGGCTAATCTTCTGACGGGTAGGTTCGCAGCATGTTTCCCGGGCAGCGTCTACAAGGACATTTCTATCTTCGGGTATATTTTTCTGCTGAATTGTTGCCATCCTTGCAGCATTTCCGTATTTCATCTAGCCTGGTCATCATTTGTGGTTGTTTCCAGACTCCTTAGTGCTTTTCAGCTATACAGAAATTTTTTACACCTCACCCCCTTTGTCCCCCCGTATCCAAAATTTTGGGTATCCGCATCTTTACCCAAACATAAAGATATTGTTTTTTGTTGGATCCCTGGTCATGTTGATGCAAGGGGAATGAAAAAGGCCGAACTGTGGCGGTCGCAGTACATGACCTACCAGTTTCATATAGAGGTATTCCATTTACGGACTATTTTGCGCAATATCTTCCCAACCCTTTACACCCCTTGGAAAAAGTTGGTTGCTATGTCGGGAACAAAAATTCAATCTATTTAAACCCGGGTTTGGGTTTCTGCATCTTTCTTTCACCATGTCGGGTTTGGAGACTACTCTCTCCCATCTTGCATTGGCCTACTCGTCTTATCATGGGGTATCTCATGGAGAGGCCCCTCTCCTCTCTGTGAGAATTACCAAGTCCCTTACAGTCAGCCCCATTCTGTTGGACTGCCCCCTTTATCAAAGAGCACGCGAATTTTCCCCCGTCGTCTTGCTCTGTGCTTTCTCTTTCCTTCCCCTTTTTCGCTTGGACCCACTTTTTTTCCCCGGCTCTTTATTGATTTTTGACAACAACTGACTGACTTCGCAAAAATTTTGATCCTTCAGCCCCTTTTTACTTCAAACTCTTGCTACCTTACCCCCGTATACCCCCGCCCCGTGTTTTTTGTAACCTATGATCATCCCCCTCCCTTCTGCACCCCTCCCCGCTTCCCCCCTACCCCGCAGCGTGTATAGCCCCTTTTGGGTTTTGGGTTCTTTTTGATTATAATAATAAATAATAAAAAACCCCGGTGTGAAACTAGTGGTAAGTATGCGATCATGCAGAGTCTGCCTGCTCATTGCCCCGACCACAACATGACCAGGGATCCAACAAAAACGATTTCTTCATTTTTGTATAATGTGGCCAACCCAAAATTGTTACGAAGAAAATAGGGGATGGGTGAATCAAATTTTTTAAAAGCTTGAAAAAACAGTAAATGAGTTGAGTGATTACAAATTTGTGTAGGAATAATCAAAAGGATAATTGCAATGAGAATGGCATACAATTCAGCTGTAA